TTTGAGCAAGTTCCTTAAACTTTCTGTGTTTCTGCCATCTGATAATAGTAACGATGTCATAGTTACTACATAGTTGTGAGTATTAAATGAGTTCATCCCAGTAAAGCTCTTAGAATAGTGCCTGGCGCATAGTTAAGTAATCAATAGATGTCAGCTATTCTTATTGTCCCATTTGACCTCACTCTGTGGGGATGACCCAAGGAAGTGCAAGAAGCAAACGCTGGGCCTGCCAATGACTTCCACGGGGCAGCCCAGCCGAGCAGCGCAGGGGGACATCCTCCCCCTGTTAACTAGGGAGTGATGGGGACTCAAGAATCCATCAAGGTTACATGCACCCCAATGTTCATAGCAGCACTGTTTCCAATAGCCAAGACATGGAAGCAGCCATCAACAGATGAATGGATAAAGAAGATGTGGCACATATATACAATGGAATACTACTCAGCCATAAAAAGAAATGAAATAATGCCATTTGCAGCAACATGGATGGACCTAGAGATGATCATACTAAGTGAAGTAAGTCAGACAGAGAAAGACAAATACCATATGATATCACTTATGTATGGAATCTAAAATATGATACAAATGAACTTATTTACGAAACAGAAACAGACTCAGACATAGAAAACAAACTTAGGTTGCCAAAGGGGAAAGGGGTGGGGGAGGGATAAATTTAGGAGTTTGGGATTAGCAGATACACATTGCTATATATAAAATAGATAACAAGGTCCTACTGGTATAGCACAAGGAACTATATTCAATATCTTGTAATAAGCCGTAATGGAAAAGAATATTTTTAAAAGAATATATATATATATATGTGTGTGTGTGTGTGTGTGTGTGTGTGTGTGTGAATCACTTTGCTGTGCACCAGAAACTAACACAACATTATAAATCAACTATACTTCAATTAAAAAAAAAAGAATTCATCAAGGTCAGGCTTCCATGATAGAACTTTTGTGCGTTGCCAGTGTTGCCACCTGCACCTCTGGAGAGTCTGGACAGGCCCGAGAGCAGAGGTGGTGTCCCAGGGACCGGGGGGTGGGGGATGAGAACAGATGCACACCAACCGCAGAGGTGGGGAATTTTCCAAGCCAGGTCTTCAGGAGCCTGTGGTGGGAGGGAGACTTCTGGAAGCACCACAGATCCTCCTGGAGGCATCGCAAAAGGTCTGGCACTCGGCGGAGTTTTGCTTGGTCCTCCAGGCTCCTCGTCCTGGTGATTCTGACATTTCTTCTCCCTAGTAAGTGAGGAGGAGCACGGCAGAAGAATGGGGATGTGGTGAGGTCTACCAGAGCTCCCTCTAGGGCACAATCCCCGCCAGGTGAGCACCTGCCCTCACACAAGATGCCTGCTTGGGGCGGCATGGTGAGTAAGGTGTGGCTCCTGAAAGATCAAGTCCTTGGGTGGCAGCATGATTGCGGGGGTTGGGAGAGCACATTAGAAAGCAGCCTGGGTAGGAATGTTGTCACAAACCCTGCTGGCTGACTAGCCTAGGACAGGTCACTTCACCTCTCTGAACCTCTGCTCCATTCTACAAAATGCGTACAGCAACCTCTGGCTCCCCGGGAGGCTTAAAGCTTTAAAGAAGATTGTGTGTACGAAAGCAAGGGCTTGCCAAGTGGAAGCTATTGTTATTTACTGGTTCCCAGGCACTGCTGCGGACAGGATGACAGGAAGGTCATTGTGTTTGGTGGCAGGGCTTGGGTCCTGAACTACTCTCCAGCCCACTCCATCCCCCTGCTTTCATACGTACCCTCTTTTCCAACCAGACTGCCTGCTCCTGGGCTGACAAGCTCTTCCTCGCTACCTGGCCTTGGCACCTGCTGGTCCCATGGCCTGACTTGCCTTGTCTCCCTTTGCCACCTGACAGATGGCAGCAACATCCTCCTTCCCTGGTCCCCAAAAGAATGAGCACGCCCATAGCTTGGGGGCTCAGTCCCACGGGCCTGGACTTCTGAGGTCCCAGCCCATGGCCCCAGCACTTGGAAAGGACTTGCCTCCCTGTAGGGCTCAGAGCTGCAGGGAAAAGGACAGAGGAAGGGGCACTTCCCAGTCCCTGGGCATCCCTGTGACTTAAGCTCTCCTTCTCTTGTGAAATCCACAGCCGGCAGAAGGAAGCACAGAGTCCCAGCAGTGTCTGGGGCAGACGCACACCCCCTTCGTGGGGTTAGGACTCTTCATTTTGTGTAAGAAAGGCTCTGTCCCAGTCTGGACCACCACCTGAGACCCACGGAAAGCTTGGGCCTCGCTGAGCCTGCCCCCCTGACAGCTGGGGGCTAGCAGCCTAGTCTAAGGGGCTTTGGGAGCAGGGCTCCCAGGGGCATTCGGAGAAGCTGCGAGAGAGGCTGTGAAACACTGAGAGGATGGAAGAAGAGGAAGTGGCCCCCTTCCCTGCTGGCCTGACAGACAGCTGTGGAGGCCCTCCTTCCTGTGAGGGACCGGGCCCAGGGCTCAGACCTTCAAGCCTCCCATCTCCCCAAACCACAGCCCAGAGGTGTGAAAGACAGAAAAAAAAAACAGGGGGAGGGGTGGCAGAGAAGAGACAGGTGCACATTTCACACCTTGACCACAGGTGGGGCTCGGAGCAGCTTCACTCTGACTAACTTCCTTCTGAAGCTTCCCCACTTGGTGTCTCGGGAGGCCAGAAGCAGAAGGGTACAGCTACCAGAACTTAGGGTGCAGGCTCCTGGCTAGGTGGGTCTTCCCCAGGGCTGGGCCTGCTTGGAAGCTGGTCTGGGGGCTGCTTGGGATAGGAGAGGGCCGAGTTAGTGGGCCAAACAAGGTTCTTGTCTCGGCACCTTCTGAGGCATGTGAGCTGTGAAAGACAGCAGTGGCCAACTGCAGACCTGACCTTCTGTGGCCTTGGGAGGGGCTGGTCTGGAAAGTTACTAGAAGGGGAGGAAACTGCTGCTAGCTGGGTTCTTTACCCTGTGCCATATATATCGTTTACAGTTCACAGAGCAGCCCTGACACAGGTGGACTAGCTTTATCCCTACTTTTCAAATGAGAGAACCAAGGCAGAGAGGTAAAATGATTCGCCTAAGGTGACACAGTGGGGCAGCCAGAGGATTCGGCGAGGACTGGCCAAACCCTCCCAGCTAAGGCATGGCAGCCTTCCCGAAGGATCCGTCCTCCAGCCACGTCCACAGGGCAGCACACTCCGTCCCAGGGCTCCCCTGACATGGAAGAGCTCCCAGGGACTCTGGGTTTGTGGCCAGTATCCCTCACACTCAGCATTCTCAGATATGCTTCTACTAAGGGCTGAGCCCTGTGTGGAGACCTCACAGCCCTGGTCATCTCAGATGACCTGTTTTACAAATTTATTTATTTTTGGCTGCGTTGGGTCTTTGTTGCTGCGCGCGGGCTTTCTCTAGTTGCGGCAAGCGGGGTCTACTCTTCATTGCGGTGCATGGGCTTCTCATTGCAGTGGCTTCTCTTGTTGCGAAGCATGGACTCTAGGCGCACGGGCTTCAGTAGTTGCGGTGCGTGGGCTCAGTACTCGTGGCGCACGGGCTTAGTTGCTCCGCAGCATGTGGGATCTTCCCAGACCAGGGCTCGAACCACTGGTGGCGCAGTGGTTGAGAATCTGCCTGCCAATGCAGGGGATTCTCAACTACTGTGCCACCAGGGAAGCCCTCAGATCATCTTATAACACCCCTGCTGAGACCAGCTCAAAAACGGTTATGTCATAGGTCCAAGGTCACACATCTCGAACAGGGTGGAGTCAGGGCTGGAGCCAGACAAATTCAGTATTTTTCCCATTCTTCCCACTGCATCATGGCCACACCGGGAGCAGCAGGAACAGTCCACCCCACAGCCCAGGCTGGCCTCTCAGGATATGGCCCAATGCAGAAAGGAAAGCTCTCTGCACCTTTCCAACACTCTTAGCTGACCTCCTCTCATTTCTCCTTTCCAGCAACCCAGGAAGGTGGGGATCTTGGTCCCCATGTGGCAAATGAGGAGACTTGGACACAGGAAGGAGACCGGAGGTCCCTAAACTTAGAAATTTCACACGTATCTGGAGGACCCACACTGGGTTGTCAACTCCTGCTAACACAAGATGCTATCGTCACCAACATTTCATAAAGAGAAGATCCTTTTAATACCAAAAAGGGGATAAAGGCCATAACTGCAGAATACAAGAACCTCCTTTAAGTTGAACAAATAGAGCTTTTTGTTTTCCTCCTTTCTCTCACATGTAGAAGCCCAGTGAATGGAAACTCTTCATGGACCAGCATCGGAAGCTGTGCTCCTGGCTCCCACCTGTCTTCCTCCACCTGCAGGCAAGTCACCTGCCAAGTCCTACCTATCCTAACTGCTGTGGCTTCTGGAATCCCCCCAGGCCCCTCCACTTGTGCTGCTCCTGACCTCCTCCAAGCCCTTAGTTCCCTCTGGCCTGGATTCTGCAGGTGACAAACTGCTTAGAGCAAGGACAGTCACATCTTCTGGCCACAGGAGGCGGGGAAGGACCTCGCTGCCTCACAAGTGTGTGTTTTGTCCATTAAGTTTGAGCTGAATTCAAGACCCAAGCCTGGAGGCTCAGGTGACGCATTCTGGCTGAAAACTGGACCCCCAATGCCATAGCCTCAGTCTCCCTCTCTCTCTCTCTCTCTCTCTCTCTCTCTCTCTCTCTCTCTGCTTTTCACCTATGAGGAGAGAGGGAAACTGCTTGGGAGAGGCAAGGAGCTGCCTTTTCCCTCTGATAATAAGAGCAGGGCAATAGGGAGATCCCCATGTAGTCTTCCCCAACCCTATTCCCCTTCTCCTCACTCCAGAAGCAACTGCTCTCATGGATGTGTGGTGTGTCCAGTCCCTACTTTAAACTTCTAGGACAAATAGCTGTATCCAAAACAACATGGTATTGTTTTGTGTGTGTGTTTTTTCTAATTTACCTAAGTGGTGTCAAACTATACACAGTATTCCCTAACTTGCCTCTTCCACCATTGGTCATTGGCTTTTCTAGATGTGTCCATGTTAAAATATATAGCTTTTAGTTCATTTGTTTTTAACTGTGTGAATATATCATTGTTTATCCATTAGAAAGCAACTGAAGGCAGTGTGAGGAGTGGTAAAAGGAGAGTCAGACAGCTGTGGGTTCAATCGTAGCACCTACCCTTGCTTGTTATGTCTGGCGAAGGCCTTTCCCCTTTCTGGATTAGCCATGGGGATGCCGCCCACCCCCCGCCCCTACAAGGGACTTGTGTGGTTGGAATGAGGCAGTGTCAGAGAAAACGCCTAAAGCAACACCCAGCACACAGCAAGTTCATTACTAGCAGTTCCCTTTCCTTGCCCCTGTTGCTTAGCAGGGAGGGGCAATAGTAAAGGACTAGAATTAGTGTGATGGATTGCTTTCAAATATTTTCATTTTTTAAGAAGGTTCATCTCCTTTATAGAGTTAACACGTTTAGCTATCCAGTCCACAATCGTGTGAGAGCAACTCCAGCCCAGGACGGATGAGCAGCAGTTCTTACCCCTGCCCTTGCCAGCTGCCCTGCTTCTCCTTCAGACCTCTCCCCTCAAAGCACCTGCTCCTGCCCTTCCCTCGGCCCCAGGCTTTCTGGTCCCAGGCTTGTGTTCAACTCCCAGAGCAGCTTCGCCGGGCCAGCGGGATGTTGGGGTAGGAACCCCGTGGCCTTGGGTCTAGGGAGTTCTGGTATAGATCACCCCTTGGAAGAGGTTGCTGCCGAGAACCGCGTGAAACCCTGACTTCCTCTGTGTAGCGCAGGTTCCCGACCACAAGCACCAAAGCAGAGGGGCAGGCAGCACACGGCCAGGCAGCCAGAGTACCAGCCCAGCCATGGTCCCCGAGGTAAGTGCCGCTGTCCAGCCAGGCCAGACCACAGCTCCAAGTGGAGAGCCTAGGACACTAGGGGAACGTCAGGACTGGCCCACAAGCCAGGGCCACCAGAGGGTTGGGTGAATAGGTAGAGAATGCAGGGGTTGTGTAGAAGGAGCACTCTGGACCGGGAATTGGGAAACCACCTTGGCCACTGACTTGTGAATGACCACAGGCGAGACCCCTCCCCTTTCTGGCTTTGGTGCCTCATCTGCGAAACGCATGAGGTTGAGGCTCACCCCTCACGGTCCCCAAGGCTCCCTTCAGCTCTGACTTGGAACTTTGATCTTCCATGCAGGACTGAATTGGCCCCTGGGAGGCCCTCAGCTATGGGGTGGTTTGCAGGGGAAGGGGGTAAGGAATGTTTCTAATAGAGCTTGCTGGGCAAGTCCCCGGCGGGTGGCAGGCTTCAGTGTAGGGGAGGGGAAGGACAGGGGCAGAAAGCATGTGTTTGGGGGCTGCAGTGATTTGTAGAGGGGCCCCATGGGGTGGGGGGCAGGAAGTTGGAGTCCCCAGACAAGGGCTGAGGAGGGAAGAGGAGGGCCAGTGACTAGGAGAGGGGACGGCGAATAGGCGCCAGGGGACGAAGGTGGTGGAACTAGGCGTGGCCAGGACACTGAGGACCATAAGCCATGAAGGAAGGGCAAGGAGAGAGGAGAGGGGGCCGGGAGGGCTCTGGGCACAAGATGGAAGCTCTCCCTCCAGTCCACAGTCCCTGGGCCGATGGGATGACCCAGAAGGGAGAGAGAGAAGCAGCCTTCGAGAAGGGAAGTTACCAGCCCAGCACCCAGGCCGGGCACCTGGAGCTCAGAGGGCGTGGTTTAAGAAGAAAGGCAGGACAGTTACAGGGTACAGCCCAGGCCTCCGGGCCTGCCTTACAGAGGAGTTGCTTCGAGAAAGCCTCCTCAGACTAAATCTTGAAGGAGTGATGTTTTTTAATTGAAGTATAGTTGATTTACAATGTTTCAGGTGTATAGCAAAGTGATTCAGTTATGCTTACATATATATCTATTCTTTTTCAGATTCTTTTCCATTATAGATAACCTACAAGATATTGAATATAGTTCCCTGTGCCCTACAATAGGCCCTTGCTGTTTATCTATTTTACATGTCGTAGTGTGTATCTGTTAATCTCAAATTCCTAATCGAAGGAGTGACTTTTAAGGCCTTCACAGGCTCTGTGCCCTCCCTCCCTCCACAGATGAGTGAACGCCAAGAGTTCCAAGTCTCGGAGCTTGACTTCCTCCTGGAAAACTCTTCCTATGACTACGGAGAAAACGACAGTGACCCCTGCTGTGCCTCCCCACCCTGCCCGCAGGACTTCAGCCTCAACTTCGACCGGGCCTTCCTGCCCGTCCTCTACAGCCTCCTCTTCATGCTGGGGCTGCTGGGCAATGGCGCCGTGGCGGCCGTGCTGCTGAGCCAGCGGGCGGTCCTGAGCAGCACCGACACCTTCCTGCTGCACTTGGCCGTGGCTGACGCACTGCTGGTGCTGACGCTCCCGCTCTGGGCGGTGGACGCAGCCGTCGAGTGGGTCTTCGGCTCTGGCCTCTGCAAAGTGGCGGGTGCCCTCTTCAACATCAACTTCTACGCAGGGGCCCTCCTGCTGGCCTGCATCAGCTTCGATCGGTACCTGAGCATCGTGCACGCCACCCAGCTCTACCGCCGGGGTCCCCCGACCCGCGTGGCCATCACCTGTGTGGCGGTCTGGGGGCTCTGTCTGCTCTTTGCACTCCCGGACTTCATCTTCCTGTCCGCCCACCACGACAAGCGCCTCAACGCCACCCACTGCCAGTACAGCTTCCCGCAGGTGGGCCGCACGGCCCTGCGCATTCTGCAGCTGGTCGCCGGTTTCCTGCTGCCGCTGCTGGTCATGGCCTATTGCTATGCCCGCATCCTGGCTGTGCTGCTGGTCTCCAGGGGCCAGCGGCGGCTCAGAGCCATGAGGCTGGTGGTGGTGGTGGTGGTGGCCTTTGCCCTCTGCTGGACCCCCTACCACCTGGTGGTGCTGGTGGACACCCTCATGGAGCTGGGGGCCGTGGCCCGCAACTGTGGCCGAGAAAGCAGTGTGGACGTGGCCAAGTCGGTCACATCGGGCATGGGCTACATGCACTGCTGCCTCAACCCTCTGCTCTATGCCTTTGTGGGTGTCAAGTTCCGAGAGCGGATGTGGATGCTACTCATGCGCCTGGGCTGCCCCAACCAGAGGGGCCACCAGTGGCAGCCTCCGGCTTCCCGCCGGGATTCATCCTGGTCTGAGACCACAGAGGCCTCCTACTCAGGCTTGTGAGGCTTGGGATGGGGGATACCCCTTTCCCACGCAGCCCAACTCCCCCATTCCAGGCTCCTCCCTCGCTCACTCCCCAGACACACACTCCTTGGAGTCCCCGATGGCCCTGGTACTGCCGGGTCTCCCAGGGAGCCGCCCTCCTGGCTCTGGGGGCTGCCCCATCACTGCTCCTTAGCTGCACAGCCCCCATCCCGCCGCTTCAGAGGTGGCTGCCTTCAGGCCCTTCTTACCTTGGCCGCTCGGAACCCCACCACCCTCCTAATTCAGTAACTAGGCCTCAGCCTTCCCCATATGCAGGGAGCATGAGGCAAACAGCATAATGGCAGCGGCCTTGGCCGGGCCTCCTGTTCCGCAGTGACTATGGCTGTGGTTCCCGAGACCTCTGTGTTTGCTCACTTTGATTTTTATGTCTAAAACTCTGCTTCAAACTTTTCAATAAACAAGCTAATCAGGACCAGGGTGTGTTAGTGCATCATTGCAGCCAGCCCTGCCCAGGCTCTGGGGATGCACTTCCTGCTTCTCCTTGTCTGGCCCTGGGTCTGTGCCAAACAATGCTGCCTCTGTCTCTGTCTCCCCTCCTCTCTGCCCTCCTGGGCACACCTGTCCCTCACAGGGAAGCACCCAGGGACATGGGTGCAGGGTAGGCAGTTAGCCAACCCGCTGGCTAGACACTGTCTAGGCATAATTTGGGGAAGGGGCCTTCAGACATAAATAAGACATAGTCCCTGCACTACAGAAGCTTAGGCCAGCAAGGAAAATGTATAGGTGACAATACCAAGCAGTCTATGCCACGAGGCAAATGTGCAGCACATGTTCAGAGCACTGTGGCTGGAGCCATTTGGGAAGCCTTCTTGAAGACAGAGAAATGAGTAAGAACTTAAGGGGCAAGTAGTATTTCCAAGGGCAAAGAGAAGGAAAGATGGTATTTCCAGGCAGATGGGAGGGCAGCAGCAAAGGCGGTAAGGCTGGAAACAGCAATGCTTATTGGAGGAATGATAACTGGTCCCAACTGGCTAGAATTAAGGGTTCAGGTAGAGAAAGGGTGTAAAAGACTGAAAGTTAAGTTTGGGATCAGGTGAGGGTATCATAGGTTACAAGGCTGTAGTGGTTATTCATGTTAGAGGTGACGCAGGCTCTTACTAAGGAGATACAAGTAGGACTGGAAAAAAAGGAGATCGGACGACTTGGCAGTCATTAGCACATAGGCCACCTGGAGGCATGTGTGGGCTGCAGGGAGCATCTTCCCATGGCTATAGCTGGGGTAGAAGTGAGTGGGGGAAGTGACCAGGGCTACTGAGGTAAGGCAGAGGGCTGGACCCTCCCTTTGCAGGGGTGGAACCACTGCATTGTCAGTTCTCCCTAATGAAGTCAGCAATGGGCCATGATCCAGTTTCACAGGCCAGCTGGGCTTTGCTAAGATTGCAGATGTGGCTGGAGGTGGGACTGGAGAAGAGGGACCCAAGGATTTAGCTGCGGGAGCGCGTACCACCCTGTGTACATACCCGATCCCATCTATACTTGTGCTTAGGCTTCAGTTTGTGGCCACTGAAAGAACACTCTCAGCATCTGCAAAATGAAGGAAAGATGGAAGGCAGATGACAGAATAACACATCCTGCCTATAAAAAAGTATCAGTGATGCTAGACTAGTAAAGATGTTTGAGGCAGGCTGAATAACAAGTCCCCAAATGTCCACACTCTAATCCCTAGAACTTGTGAATATGTTAATGTTACCTCACATGGCAAAAGGGAATTGAGGTTGCTAATTAGCTGACTTTAAAATAAGATTTTCCTGGATTATCTGGGTGAGCCCAGTGTTATCACAAGGGTCCTTAAAAGTAAAAGAGGGAGGCAGAAGGGGAGATAGTCAGAGAAAAGAGATGTCACTGGCTTTGAAGATGGAGGAAGGGGGCCACAAACCAAGGAATGCAAGCAGCCCCTAGAAGGTGGAAAGAGAAGGAAATTGATTCCCCCGCCCAGGGCCTCCAGAGAGGAATGCGGCCCTGCCCACTCCTTGATTTTAGACTTATGAGGTCTGCGCCAGACTTCTGACCTCCCGAGCTGTAAGATAATACATTTGTGTTGTTTTAAGTCACTAAACTTGTGGTAATCTGCTTTGGCAGACTGTTTTGGCAGAAACAGAAAACAAATACAACGTTGATTCCAGTCTACATCCCAGACAGCTCCCAAAAGTGGGGAGGTTGTTGAAGTGCTTATGGGCAGTCACAAAAATCCAAGAGAAACCCTAAACGGAGGCTGTTCTTCCAGACACATCCTGGAGAGCCTGAGAGGTCCGGGGTCTTAGACAAAGACCCAAGGGTTTGTTCTGCTCTGGACATGGGTTGTCAATGAACAGACTTTGCTAACAAGTGAGCTGCAGAAAACATTTGTTTATTTTTATTTTATGAACAGTTACATTGTTCAGGTGGCTTCATACAATGTCAAGAGCAACTAAACTCATGAAACATGTCTGTATTTCACTTCCAGGTAGGTGTAACAGGTTACATCTGACAGCAGCTCTGGTTTTGAAGTACTGTCTTTAAAACTTGTTCTCTTCTCAGCATGCTTCATTCTCTCAACGTGCCACTCTCCAGACATCATTTCTCTTTTGCATTTTGCTCTACATGTTAAAACTACAGCATCTAAATAAGACCCAAGGTAGATCAAAAGTGCTTTTGGGTATCAGCACAAAATGGTTAGCAACAGAACTCTTAGTGAAGAACAAACATCATTAACAAAAGGGAACTTTTAAAGAAGGATTTAAATTCTAATATTCATAACTTCACAGCATCAAAGATATCTTTCTAAAACTCCTTACCAACAGATGATTCACCTCACACAAATACATTCTCAGATAACCTCAACGAACCTGGCTTTGTTTTTTGGCAGTAAAATCCTTGCTGAGCTTTCTCATCACATCCCCATGACCTATCCCTGCCGTCTCCTTCCTGACTATTCTGTAATTCTCCTGCACATACTTGGCAAATGGTCTCACATGGGGCTCAATGGGGGTTCCATCTTTACGAGTTAATGGCAGAAGGACCAGAGAGCCGCGGCACCTGGCACAGATGAAGCGCTCGGTGTCCAGTGATCTGGTGTAGCGGCCGACCCTAAGGAGGAAAGAGACACCACACAGCAAACAAATCAGTCACTGTACGTCCGCATCTTCTCAGAGCTGCTGCCCCTGAGCCCACAGCCAGACTTCTTCTGTGGGATCTCAGCAAGTGGGGCACCAGGCAGTGGCCATGGTCAGGCTGGCTCAAAGCAGAAGAGAATGGAGAAAGAAGACATGGAAAGGAGTAGAGAAGTTTTACTCCTCAAGTCAGATAGCCATGTACTTCCTGATAAAACCACTGAAGACTACGTGGAGGCCATAGTAAAAACGTAATTGGAAAAAGTCTGAGGAGAAGGGTCTTACCTGAATTTGCACCGAGTACACTCATAATGAATCCTGTAGTTAATCTTGTAGTTATGGCAACGGGTGACCTTGGGCAGCTCCGGGTGCACCATATTCAATTTTCGGGCATAATACTTCCATGCATCACCATGAGAATCACGGACGCCATCGAGCAGCCAGGAGGCTGCGTGGCATATCTCATGGACCAAAGTATCCCGGAGTCGGTCTTAGAAGAGGAATGAAATGAAATCATGAGGCTTAAACCGATTCCCTTCTGGTCTGTTACCCAACCACCCCTAGACTCTCCACCCCATCAGACACATAAGCATATGTGGGCAGGCAGGAGTGTTATCGCCCCAGAATTCTGAAGGTGAAATTTCTACTGAATTCAACCCGATTTTATTAATGGCAGAGAGCCTCAGCGGAGCAAGTGTTTTTGGAAAAGCTCCAATGTGCTCTTTTTGTGGGACACTGCTAGAAATACATCCAGCTGAGACCCGGTCGCCGCCCTCCAGGAGCATAAAGTGGGGTTTGGTCAGGAGAAGCTCCGTGGAGAAGCTGGGATCTGAGCTGGGCTCAGATCAATTGACTAGACTGGCAAAATTATCAAGGTCTTTCTAGGTGTGGTAGAGAAGGTGAGCCAAGGTTGGGGTCAGGAAAGCATGTGGTCCATTTTGAAAGCCAGCGTGAAGAAAGCCTGGCTGGAGCACAGGTGGAGTAGTGAGAGACAAGACTGGCCACATGGAGGGGGGCAAAGTACGATGGCCTCGAAAGCCACACTCGAGGCACTGGCAAGCCCAAGGTTTCCTAGCAAGAAACTGCATGGAGCAGGGAGAAAAGTGAGGTGATGAGGGTCCATAGCTAGGCAGAGGCAAAGACAGAGAAGGAATGATGATAACAGGAGAGTCATTATGAACATCCGGTGATTGGCTAGATATAGGGGACCTTGAACCTCAGTTACTGGGAGGATGGAGATGCTGCCGCTGGCAGTGGGGAGCTGCAGAGAGAAAGTTAGGCCCGGTAGAAATATGGACGAACTGGATTCTTGGTGGTGGTGAGACATCCAATAATAATGTCCTCTAAGCAACACACAGTAGGCCTGTCCACCCAGGAGTGACAGGGAAAGCTGTGACACAGGCGGCCAGAGAACACCAGCACCCAAGAGTAACCTCCCAGGTGCCATATCGGATGTAAGTGCAGCAGGGGAGCTGCCCAGCTCCTGCCATCACCTGCAGAATCGCAGACTTTCTGAGAAATCTCAATCTTAGCATAACGCTGCCTCTTCGGGTATCGAGTCTCGCCAGTGGTGCATAAACCAGCAGTTCTCAGCATCTTTTTATTCCAGCCGATGTCAATTTTCTCCGGCATCTGAGAACAAAAAGCAAACAAGAGCGAATCAGAAAGTGGTTCTAAGCAGACCAGAAAATATCAACTCAAGAGTTTTGCAAATCTAACATTCTGGGGAGAATAAAACCTAAGCTGAAGCCCACGTAAAGATGAGACTGTTGCAAGCACGTGAATGCAGGCTCTGTGCTCCCCTGTATGGAGACAAAAGTCAGGGGCAGCCAAGGAGAGAAGGACACTTCTGCTGGGCTAGGAGATGGAGCCCGTGCATGAGAGCCATGAGGCACAACTAAAACTGCAACTCAGAACACTTAAGGTTCCACTCATCAGAGTTATCTGATGTAACACCACTGTCATCAGAAAGGGCACCAAAGGCTGGGGAACCTTTAGAAAGATCTAAGAACATTCCCTGCAGGAAGTTTTGTCACCAGAGTCAATAAACTCTGGAAAACCTCATAACCGCAGGTCTCTCTGCCTCCAAATTCTCTCCGATCCAGTCCACACCACAGGCTACTGACAGAACAACTTCTTTCAGCAGGCACTCCACGTTACATCCCATCCCTGGGCAGTGGTGCCTACTGATTTCAATTTAAGTTCCTCCAACCCGACTCCCAAGGCCCTCCATTAACCAGCCCTACACTAGTTAACATGTACTGCTCACTATGTCATAGGCCCTGTTCTAGGCACTTCAGGGGCATTCACCTATCCAGGCCTA